TTGCTTAGTGCCTCACTGCTGCTGAGGCTGGCTTTGAACTCATGATCCTCCTGCCTCAGCTTCCCAAGCCACTGGGATTACAGGCGCATGCCACTGCACCTGGTTGTAATTAAGAAAATAAAAGTTACTTTTTTGAGCAAGGCCACAACAGCCAGTCAGTGGCAGAGCCAAGTGGCTTTCAGGCCAGAGTGGCACCAAATTCTTCCGGCTCCAGGTCATCCTGACAGGCTGTCCTGGCAGTGCCTCAACAGTGAAGGACAGGAAGGCTCACTGAGCCCCAGGCCCAGGAGCTCTGGTCTCCCGCAGGCAGGAGGCAGGAGCCAGGAGCCAGACTTAAAATGCATCTGCCTCCTGGGAGGCCTCAGGATCTCAACTTCTTCAGTTTCTTCCTTTGGTGATTCCTTTGTTCTGAGCAAATGCCAGCCAAGGCAGCCTGCAGCCCTGGACCTAAGGAGGCCTTGGGGAAAACTCCTGAGACAGCCTAATGTGATGGCTCATGCAATCAGGATTGCAGCCGGAGAAACTTAGGGAGACCCTGTCTCAAAACGCGGGGCGAGGCAGGGCTAGGGACTTAGCTCAGTGGTAGAACACCCCTAGGCTCAATCCCTAGTACTAAAAAACACAAAAATACCAGAAAAACCCAGGCTTCACTAGTGTCTCTACTGCAAAGTTATCTGTAGTCCTAAAAGATGACATAACCATAATGACAATCATAATAAAAGCAGCAGGGCCAGCCATCATGCACTCTGGTCAGCACTTTACATTCATTAGCTTTCTCCATCTTTCCAGCAAGCAGCTTGAGGTGCCCTCAAGCTCCATTTCATCCTTGATGAAACTGATTCTTAGACAAGTTCAGTCACTTGGCTCAAGGTCTCCCAGCTCTTATGCAGCCACAGGGAGTAAGCGAGGACTTTCTGGAAGGCCACCCAGCAACCAAATGCAAGGTGGAGCCCTATGTGGATCCAGATGGGAGCAACCAACCACCCACACACTCACTGCACTAGACAATGGGGACATCTGAGCACAGAGTGCATAGTTTCCTTTCAGATGATAATGACATTGTGGTTATCTTTTAGAGATAGTACTTAGCAGTAAAATGGTACAACTGACATTTACTTTAAAATAACTCAGTTTGGAGAGCAATAAAAAAGGGGTGGGTGCAGATGAAACAATTTGGCCTGGGGTAGACAGCTGTGAAAGTGGGGTCCTCTTATGAATTACATACTTGCCAGGTGTGGGTGGTGCACACCTATAATTCCAGTAACTCAGGAGGCTGAGGCAGGAGGATCACTTGAGCCCAGAAGTCTGAAACCAGCCTAGGCAACTTAAGTGAGACCCTGACTCTTAACAACAACAAAAAAAGCACTTTTCAAAGCTTTTACTTGAAATCCCTTCTGTCCCCACCTCCCAAAAAGGAGGGCTGCACAGTTCCCAGTGAACAGACACTGGTCCGGCAGCTTCTTCCCTACAGGAGTTTCTGGAGGCTGAGACATGGCAGTGTGTGTGAGTCTCCAAAGTTCCAAGGCTAGGGCTGGGGAACAAGGAAGTCCTGGCTCTGTGTGGCCACTGCAGCCTTGTATTGGTGGACATGACATGCCGACTGGGGGAGTCCCTGGGAGGCCCCCTCAGCTCTGACAGCGGCACTGTTGCAATGGCGTCTTACCAGGTAAGCACAACCAGGGTTCCGGAAGAGAAGAGGATGGGACCCAAAGGCTCTTTGTGGATTAAACGGTAAAAGGTCTTGGGTGCCAAATTAAAGACTCCATTACAGATGGTAAGGAGCTGGGAGCAGCAACAGGAACCA